TGAGCAACATTCGGACACACATGCTACTAAGTGACAAGTGCTATGTGTGTGAACCAGTACCTTTAGATTAGACAGGCACTTTCGAAATAGAATTGTTTTCACTATGGTATTCTAAAGTGTACCCTTTTCTACACCTCTGTATATATACAGTAAAATAGTTGATAATAATTATATCTTCACTAACCCAAGTGTTTTGTCCTTTCAGCTACTAACAACTTAAAACTACCACAAAGTTAATTTCGACGGTTCATTAAACTGCCGTCATCACTCGATACTGGCAGTAGTCGACTAGACAGTTTTCGGGACTCGTATGCCACGAAAAAAAAACTGCACCCTTTCGTTCCCTACTTAACATTATTTACTTTGGTTCCAAACTCGAGAATTAATATCACTATCACCTATGAAAGAAATAAGAGGTACCTATGATAGGTATATCACCTTTTGATGTGCAATCGTCGCAGCCCTTGTCTTTGCATGCACAGTTGTCTCCACAAGCCCCACCTTTGCAGGTATCTGTAATAAACATGTATTCAGTTATCTCCTTTGAAAAACGAGTACATGCACTGTAAGTCATTTTTCACTTTCTTACTTTGACAATAGAGACCATTTCAGAGTTGTTCAGTCTCAATTACTATACTACTAACCGATAAAGTTTATGTTAGTCTAGCAATAACCTACAACAGATTGTCATACTAAATACATAGGCAATTTAAAAGGTCTACGACAATTCACCGCTGCTGAGTAAGACTAACTCAGAAGTAGTCAAGTAAGGAGTCAATGTAATAAAGAATGTCGCATTGAAGAAAATAAACCTCTTATCACTAGCTGACATTACTCAAAAACGTTTTGAACTATTCGTTATTACGAAAACAATAGGGTAGTTTCTTAAATTTTATTTTAATATCCGTCTGGTAGAGTAATTTATAACATTAGATACGTTTTTTTTGTACAACAAAACTAAATACTCTCACCGATAATTATATTATTTTGAAATATCGTGTGACGTCACAACTATAGCTACATTTTGTCGCATTTTATGACGTCACAACTAGCTCTAGACTCTTAAACTTAACTTCCTTTTATCTAAGTATAACTTTATACGAGAAAACAAAAAAATACGTGTCTAATATGTTTTAATTATCTAACTGACGGACTAATTAGATTTTTAATTGTCATACCCTGGCAACTACCCTATTCTAAGAACTGATTTAACCGCTTGAAGGCACCGATATGAGACAGTAGAAAATACAATGTGTCTCTCGTGGTTCCACGTTTAGACACACGACGGGTTAAGTAACTATCAAACGACTCTGAGTAGGACGGTAAGCAAGTATCTATTAATAAATTAGCCTTAATAGAATGTAATAAAAATTAACACTAACCTTAATAAAAATGGCGTGGAACCATTCAATAGTAGACACGACAAATAACTAACATCTATAAGGCTATTGTTTCTGTATATAAAGTAGCATTTAAATGGCCTTCGTGTAAAGGAAAATTTTATAGGAAGTCAAGCTTAGTTTTCCTATCGAAATTTCAATCACGACCTCTATATCAGGAAGTTCAAGTTAGAAGAATTAATACAATGCATCTACTATTTTATCTACTTTAAAAATTGGCTCATACCTAAATATATTTTTTATGGGACATGAGTAAACGAGCAGACGGATCATCGGATGGTAAGCAATCGCCGTCGCCCATTGACACCCGAAAAACCAGAGGCGTTATAAGTGCGTTACCCGGTCTTTTGAGGATTAGGATTGTAAAAGAGTAACCTATGGAGTTTCTTGCTAGTTCTTCTCCATAGGAATCTACACTTTGGAATGAGCAACTAGCTTCACTTCTAAATTTTTTTGTTGTTGACGTCAAAAGTGCCTTTCCGGTCTAATTTAAATAAATGATTTTGACTTTGACTTTGAGGATGAGGAGGTTGGGGTGATTGATATTTTCTTCCGTATAAAGAAGGGATTAACGTCATAAGCAGTTGTAAGTGTCCGCTTCTGTTGCTAAAAGGTTCCACTTAAAAGGCGGACCGTTGATACACTGATTATCTCTAAATTCCATGTTATCATTGACAATTTCTAGAATGAAAATATAGAAATTCTTTATCTAACATATGTAGACATTCTGAAAATTGCAAATCCAACAATGTCTACGGGACCCGAAAACCCGAGCGATTCGACTTATACTTGGACAATAGGGTAGTTTCCAGGGTAAGAAACGTATTTTTTTATTTTCTCGTATAAAGTTACAATACTTAAATAAAATGACGTTAAGTTTAGGACTAGGAGGTAGTTACGTCATAACGTGGTACATTTTGTAGCACGCTGTGACGTCACGCGACATTTCAAATCAATATATCGTCAAAAGCATTTAATTTTGTGAGATAAGAAAAAATACGTGTCTAATGTTTTAAAATGATCTACCACGGACATTAAAATAAAATTTAGGAAACTACCCATTGACAGCGATTATTTACACACGCAACACACACATCAACAACCTATAATATCCACTGCTGAGCAAAGATTCTTCTCACACGGAGTAGGTTTGAGCAATAAACCACCATGCTCAATGCGAATTCGCGATTTGAAACTTATAATTAGAAATTATAAGCCCAGGTTTGGCCTCACAACGTTTTCCTTCACCGTTTGTCAATGGTGTCTGAATAACCTTAGAAAGTACATATAACTTGAAAAAAGTCACATTGGTATTTGCCGTTGGTAGGTTTTAGACCCGCACCCTCATGCATGAGAAGCGGGCGTCTTAAACCTTCGGACTACCACACATATTTTTTGTGATTATTTGTATTAATACAATATTATTACGAGTAGGTAATATCTTACCTTTGCACGGTTCGCAGGGAGAAGGCATGTTGTATCTAGTTGCAATTTCAGCACGAACTGCACTATCTTATAACGTGTCAAGTTATATACCTCACAGTCATCGCAAAAACTACCAACATCTGGAACAAGGTTGAGGAAAAACTGATAACTATTATAATACTAAAATTGACCGATATTATTGTAGAATGAAGGTAAAAAATAAGTATTTAATAATATAAGTACAAATTATCTTGAATTTCAAGTCATAGACATCTTTTGATTTTATTAAATACATCGACTTATTGGCAGTTTAATATGTATGTCATTTCCATAGGTGTGTAGGTAATTGTACATAGCCATGGTCTACACAGGGACTTGAAATTGGTTTGTGATATCTACCACTTCAATTTGACTATTGCACACTATTCAGATACTGTGTATATCTATGAATATAAAAATGAATCCCTTCTTCCCTTGGTCACGGCATCACGCGTGAATGACTGGACCGATTTCACTAATTCTTTTTTTGTTGTATTTGTTATTATTAGGAGAAGGTTCTTAAGACAGAAAAAATCCTGTAAAACCTACGGGAACTGGAGAAAACAGGGTGGCGTACGAAGTCGCGGGCAGAAGCTAGTTATTCATAATAATGAATACGCATACTAGGCATAATTTGCTCCTAAACAGTAAGTACCTGGTGGCGTATTATGACGTCTTAAAGCCAGCGTGGTTCAGTTGATGTTCCATTGAGGATGACCGAGGTTTACTTGGTGTTTTTTTTAGTAAACAACATTGTCAGACGATGAAACCTAGCTAGATCCTAGATCGATTTATCGCCCCAGAACCAGCTAGATACATAAAAGATAATCGTTGGAACTGTTTCCGAGATCATTATTGCCGGTTTAAAGGTATTAGATATTATAATGATACTGGTTGGATGACTAGAAATAATAACAGAGTAGTAAGTAATAAAAAAGAAATGAAAATAAAAGAAAATTAGCTAACGAGGTTAATATCTATTACTTAAGCATTTGTACTCATGTTTAATGTATTTGATAAAAGTCTACCAAGTGACAAGTACCTAATGCAATAATTTTATCTAAGTAATACTAGCTTCTGCCCGCGACTACGTACGCGCATTCCCGTTTTCTCCCGTTTTCAGGATTATTTCTGTCGTAAGAACCTTCTCCTAATAATAATAAATACAACAAAAAAAAGATCATCCAAATCGGTCTAGCCGTTCTCAAGTTATGGCGTGACAACGGGAAATGGGTTTCATTTTTATATATATAGATAGATATCTATCTATATAGACTGCAGTCTAATTTTTTCTCAAAACAATAACAAAGAGTTGGATAGACGATCTTGTTACTAAGGATTTATATAACAGTACCTTTACCTTCAATTACATAGTGACTGTTTACAATAAATATAATTTCTTCATTTGCCACTGTGCAACATGTTGCGGGTTCCATTCTCGAAGGTGAAAATTTGGAAGTATTTGTGTGAATCGCTTCTTGTTACCGATCAGGGTGTCTGATATTTTTATTAGTAAATGTTTCTTTGTCATTGAATAAAACTACAAATACAGAAGTATATTAGATATTAGAATTATTTGTAATTATTCAGAATATTAGTTACCAGTGCTAAGGACTGGAATCCTAGGTGTCTTCAAGGCCCGAGTGATTAGGTTGCTTATAGGCAGACGTGCTCCATCGTAGACTGCATCATCGCTTACCACCAGGCGAAATAGTGGCCAAACGTCGGCCCATTAAATATAAAAAAGAGAGCAAAATTCCTAAATAAAAAATAATACAATTCTACACCGGTAACGGTAGTAAATATGTGTGGAACTTTGTTAATTTTAAGATCTGTGTGCACCATGTACTGAGAAATAAATGACATTCATTCAATATGCTGGCGTAAAGTTCAGCCCAAACATCTCAATTCTTAGAAGTCCAACAATCTGACTCGACCCAATGAAGCAAGTCCTTAACAATATATTTTTTTCGATAAAAAATACGAAAGTAAAGCCAGCCCATCAATTTACCGTGTTCCGCACGACCACACAAACTGAACATCGAGGAAGCATCGCAGAAGGTTCTTCCTACTTCCTGAGCAACCTTGGTTGGGTCCACTTCTCCTATATTTAGGAGATTAATTTAATTTTCATATCATTCTCAGTCAGGAAACTGCGGATTGCAGCAATGGCGACCATCACCCAAACTCAAACTGTGGAAGGTAGGTTCATAATTATATTTAATTTCTGTTTGTAAAACTGTTTTTGGTAAAATTGATAGTGATATTTAACGAAAAAAAGTATAATTGCACTGCTGGGTAAAACCTCTTCTCACACCTAGAAGCTTTGATCATTGACAGCCACGCTTGCTCAAAGCAAACGATATTTCTACTTTTTAGACATATCTTGTGGCCACTATCACAATAGACTATAAAGATCACAATAAAAATTAATCGTTTTATGGCGTAATCAAGGGAAATATTAATTTATTTTGTGGACAGAGTATTCCATTCATTCATTCATCTACAGCCGGAACAAAACAACACCTGCCATCCCCGAAAGTGCATAAAATCAAATGTTTTAATTTAATCTAATATTTCCTTCATTTCAGAATTTATGCCAAAGTCCCAAATGAAACAAATCTTATCGCCAAAGACTAAACCAAGTCCAAAAAACAAACAAGAACCACAAGCTTTAGGATGTCCAGAAGACTGTCCGTGCAAGATAAACACCCAAAAAGCACAGAGGCGCCCACTACAATTGCTGTTCAATGTAATCGGAATTATCGTGGCGCTAGTAGCCACTTACATGATAGTGACCACAGATTCTAACATCTATTTAATATTTTGGATTTGTTACTCTGTGCTAAGACGGTTAACGAAGTCTAAATCTAGATCCCGTGTTAAGTCTGACTGAGTCTATATTTGTTTGTATTGTATTTATTCCTAGCCCTAAGTATTTATTTGTTTATTTATTCGCACTAACTGAGCATGCAATGTATTCAATAAACTGTTTTTTGTTTATGTTTTTGTTTGATTCTCGTTGTGATGTGTTTAATAACTATCTTATTTGTCAAACAGCGATAGTGTATAGAATTACGAATTAGAATGTGGTAACGATTACGCTAGGTAAGTAGATAATAATAATACAATAAGGTCTGGGTCAGATGATATTTTGAAATTAATTGTTAAGTGTATGTGCATATAATATAGGTATTATGTCGCAGCAAACTAACCTAATTAGCCATTCAACTAGCAGCCTGAAATACTGACTAATACCTTTTTGATTAAATGGTTTAATGGAGGTACCATTTTATTTATGGAATTAGCCGGTACACGAGACGGATCACCTGTTGGCAAGCAATCGGCGACACCCATGGATACCCGGAACACCAGAGGTGTTATAAGTGCGTTACCAGCCTTTTGGGGATTAGAAATTCGAGGATTGTTGTGGATTCTGGGATCGGGGAGGGGAGTGATTTGGCCTTCGCTAACCTCACTCAAACTACGAAACACGACGCAAACGTTGTTTCACGGCGCGCGTCGGTTTTCTGTGAGGTCGTGGTATCACTCTGGTGAAGCTGGCCCTTTCGTGCCGACGCATGGCTCTCCTACATTTAATCATTCACCAAGTTAAGTTAAAAAGTACCTAAAGAGAGTATCATTAGAACTAAGGATTTCATCATTATGTTTACAAAATTCGGTAAACACAGCTTAAGTCATACTTACTAAAATCAATCATCATTAATAATCAATATGAATCATCAGCATTAACAGAAAAGTTTAATGTAAAGGAAACGACTATCATGGTTATCTCTTCTTTATTCTACTACATCACACTTTTTTACAATCACATTATTTTTTCCTTCCAATCGTAGTCCCACACTAAGATTTTCTTTGTTGAATGACAATTTCTTTCGGTTTTAAGAATCGTCGTATATCCGTCGTCTTACGTGGATATAAACTTAATCTCGATTTTTTGCAACAATTAGTGTCGCCAGTAAGTTCGCTGACCCCAAAATTAACACTCCATCTTGTTTTTTGTGACAAATACGATTTTGGCGCAATTTCGAGATTGTAGATTATACACCACAGCCACAGAGCACGAATTTTTTGTAAGTATCTAAACTTTTTGTTGTTTTTTAAAGTATTTTTTATTTGTGAGTCGTTCTTTTGTATTTGGCATTGAACTATTGTATCATTTATTGTATCGATTTAACAATAAAAGATAGGTCGATATTGAAGTACGAAGCCTAGCTTGGATGAACAAGTTTTGGCCAATAAGAATGTGGAATTCTTACTGACGAATATACAGATTTGGTAACAACATTCATACTTAAATACTTACACATGCGTAGGTACCTACTTATTAAGTACGAACGAGGTACCATTTAATTTAAGGAAATATATAGCCGAGATAGTGGCCAAACGACGGCCTATCAATTATAAAAAAAGTATCTGTCGATAAATATCTTTGTTCTCGAAACGAGATTAACTTTTTGCAGTAGTTGCAAGTACCAGCTAGCGGCTTCAGAAAAAAGTATTTAATTACAAAAACACTGAACGCAATGATTGGAAAAACAAGATGAATAAAATGTAACACACCCACGACACAAAAAACAATTTAAGTGTGTACCTACAGTAATGTTAAAAAAGCTTGTAAAAAATCAAGGTTACCAAATCCATTTCTTGGCCAGGGAATCTCAACCAAGACCTTTTGTATTACTACAGTCGCATTTGGGATCACTTAACCATTTTGACGAATGGGACAGCCCTAGACTACAATAATGTGTCGCGGAGAACCTAACGGGTAACCGGGGCTCCGGCTCGACGTGCAGGAGAAGGAATGGGGTGGTTTTTAGTCAGTAAGAGTCTGACACTCCCTCCCGCCTCACGCAGGCGGGAGCAGTCATTCGATGATTTTCCCCACTTAAAAAAAAAGACTACAATAATGTACATTTAAATGTCTACAACTATTCTTCTGCTTCAACTCGTGACAATACCGCGGCAGACAATTTTAGTAACCACATCAATTAGCAGCCGGCGAGTAATGAGCGCCTGCGCATATCGACACGAAGTTTCCTAGCTTTCTCTAGTAAAACAAGTGTGAAATGATTTCTACAGACCGGTTAGTAGTTAGTTTATAATTATTTAGTTTGTAACATATTTAGTAACGATATAGTTCTTGGAAATTAATTGTACCTTGACAATACATTTGTTGTAATTAAGTTGAATTAGAAGCCTGCCGGGTGCGGTGAATTCGCAAGGGCGACCCGGATCACGGCCACGGGCAAAGGAGGAACACCGCGGTGGTTTTAGCCGATAAGAGTCCGGCACACACCCCGTCGTCCCCACGACGTGGGAAGTCCACGAGGATTTCCATCGTGCTATATGTATATTTAAAAAAAGAGTGAATTATATAAACAGTTAAGTATTCACTTTTTGTCCATTGGTTACCTACCTACACTAGGATTACCATAGAAATATTGCATAATTCCAGATTCCATAGTCTCCGTACTAATATCGAGTATTTGCAAAAATTGCAACCTCAACTTTAACTTCATTAAAGTTGAAGAACCCAGTTATGATTACTGAGATATTGTGAAAGTACTTGTGCGACTGCCGGGCAAGAGGTCTCAGGTTCGATTCCCGGGTCGGATAAAGTACTAGAGGGTTTTTAAAAAAATCTCAATAGTAGCACGTAGTCTGGAATTGTGCCCGGTACCTATATAGCAATAGGCTCACCCCCTATTACATGGGACTCATAACATAAATAGTGAAAAGTGGATGTTAATGATGTGCTGTAATGTGGACCTCTGTCTACCTCTTCGGAGGTAAAAGGCGTGATGTTTTGTAATACCTACCATATTTCTTTTCAAGAAAAAAAAAGTCAAGAAAAAAAATTATTTACGTTCAAATTACCTCCATAACAACAAAAAAAAAACTCAAATCATTTCAAAATAAACCATTACAAGTTTGATAGTAGTTATAAAACCGAGTGAATCACTGCGTGTGCGCAGGTCGTCGACATTACACTTCGTGTCGTTCCGCTAAACCGCAGATCTGATCTTTGTTAATAACAAATCTTGATTTCTATCTCATTTGTAGATGTTTTCTTTGTCTTAAAAGTTTCTGATTCTTACTATGGACTAATAAAGTATAATTTGATTTTTGGTAACACTACCTTAGGTACTGCCTCGTTGACCGAGTGGTCGCTATTGTGACTGCCGGGCAAGAGGCCTCAGGTTCGATTCCCTAGTTGGGCAAAGTATTACTGGGTTTTTAAAAAAAATCTCAGTAGTCGCACAGAGTCTGGAAATATTCCCGGTATATGGCAATAGGCTCAATCCCTATTACATGGGATTCATAACATAAATAGTGAAAAGTGGGTGTTACATTGTACAGTTGTATTAAGTTTTGTAATATTCACCTCTGCCTACCCCTTCGGGGGTAAAAGGCGTGATGTTGACCATCTAAACGTCATTCGCGTCTGAAAGGGGCTTAAGTTGATAATGAGATATGAAAAATATTATTTTAAGTGATTTAACAAAAACTTTGTGCTACCGAATGACTGCACTGTACATTAAACGACGAATAATTGTAAACATATTTTGTTTAAAAAAAATACAAATTGGGAAAGACTATAAAAGGTCTTCAAAGCAGATGCAATTGCAATTTTTAATTCGTTTTTCTTGATACCAGACTACAATAATTCCCAACAATCTTCCGTGTAATCCTTACTAATATTATAAATCGGAAAGTGAGTTTGTTTGTTTGTTTGTTTGTTCCACTTTCACGCCATAACTACTAAACCGATTGCTATGAATTTTTACAGATGTACCTATAGTTAGAAGTCCGGATTAAATAATAAGGTACTTTTTATACCGGAAAAATTTGATATTCCCGAGAGAAAACAAAAGTATTGGTATAGATGGCGCTGTGTCTATTGGTATATGTCACATTGGCTTTTTATCCTTTTGTGACGCGAGCGAAGCCGCGGGTAAAAGCTAATAATAATAATAAAGCCCAATTATTTCCAAGAAAATTAAATAACATTTTCTCTTATAAAATAAATAACTATAACTATTATATCATTGGAACCCCATGCTGGGTAAAGCCCTCCTCTAGCTTGCACCACAATTTCCTATTTCTTGCTTTTATTCTCCAATTTGTTCCTGCTACTAGAATTATCTCATCAATCCATCTGTTCCTTGGATGACCTCTATTTCTTTTCCCAATCTTCCGTATATGCACATGCAAACAAAATAAAGCGTAAATAATACAGTTCCCGTGAGAAACCCGGGGCTGCCATTAGAAGGATGCCTGCTGCAGTTTTTGCCTCATTACCTGTTTCCAAGGTCAAAATATCCCATTAAGCATCATTTGCAACTTTTTATTCTGATTTGAATCCTTCTAAACATAAATTACTGAACCGGTTTTGTTATTAGTGCGAATTTCAGCAAAATTATGTTTTGTTTACGCATTATTATAATGGATTTTTTTTTATTATGTATGCAGGTATTTGCTTATTATATGAGGTTTTATTCATGCTATTAATAGTAAACACAAAATGTTCAATTATTAATAATTTATAGTTCGTAATAAATGTTTGTTTATTAAGTTTAAAAAGCTGGACTAATTTTGACGATATTTAGTACCACAGCGATAGATTGAATTGTAATTTGAAAACCGAGTTTTTTGCTTTAATTTTTTTGCAAAATTGTTGATACTACAGTCCATCTTTGGAGAAGAAAAAGTATTGCATACATACATGCCGTATCATGTCCACTTTTGTCTGATATACCTATCTCAAGAAATACAAAATAAAACAGCCCCGTCAAATTAAAAAAATATCTTTAACATTGCCGGACGAAAATGTATCGTAAACCTGCATGAGTCATACTCATAAAGAATATT